AGACTTCCTAGTGGACAAGGGGCTGATTTCCTTTGCCATCTTTTTCATATTCCTTGAAGGTGTGAGTCTCTTCCACCTACAAGAAGAAATATACACATGCACTCTCTTTGCCTGCGAAGCTTGTTACGTATAAGATGAAGTGGCTCATTCCCACGTTACAGCTCACTTGGTTCAGAATTTTAAGGTGTGAAGCATTTGGCGGAGGTAGATTTAATTTCATGTATCGAAGGGTAATGAGATAGATCTTTTCCTGGCTTCCACGAAGCAGTCTAAATAACTGAATAAGACATGGGATTGAGAAACAAAATGAACTGGGACACTTTATAGCTTCACTGGCACATTCATTGTGGATATGAAGTCATTGCAGAGAAAGCTTTTATTCACTTGAACTTCTTGGGCACCTAGTCAACACTGAATCCTAACCATGGACTCTCATATTCCCATGGTAGGAGTGTGTGATCGGAACCCTTTTCCTCACTGACACGGTTACATCAGTGAGCAACGAACATGCATGACAGAGTGGAAAAAGTGCACATCAGCCCTGAACTGATGAACTGAAGCATCTTATGCCTGTTCCTTGTTCTCTTCAGATTTCATTTCATTTTAAAAATTGAGACAACAATGCCGACTTTGCACTGAGGACTAAAAGAGTCCCTTTCTATAAAGCACTTAACATGACTCAACATTACTATAATTTTCAGAATTGTAGTATTTAAAACATCTACCAGGAACATTTCCGTAGATATTCTAGAAGTCTTGGTAAACTATGGCAGGAAATTGAATGATCGATTAATTTCCACTAGTGTGCAATGGAAAGATGGAGTTAGACATAAAAAGTAATAAACTTGTGTGTGATATTCTTAGCTAAACACCAACCATGAAAAGATTATTTCCCCAGAATGTCAATGCTTATGGAAATGCTCACTCTCTCAGTTTGAGTCCTGGACCTGGTGGCTTAAAATCACGCTGGGCACGTGTGCATGTGTGCCCAAGATCCCGAGAGGAGAATGGAGGAGAAGGGATTGCAGTGTGGCCATTCCCCCTGGGGGGTGATTTCTTGCTTTCAGTCTCTCTGTCTCTCTCTTTCTGGCGAGCGCATGCTCCCTATAGCAAAGACCTCTCCAAAAAAAAAAAAAAAATTACTGATCTTCTATGCTTTGTTTTCCAGTGTTAAGGAGTTCTGTCTTCTCTTGAGTTGTGGACAGGTCCATGTACCTGCTATTCAAACAGAATCTTAACCTATTTCCTGGCTTTAAGTATAAAACAACTTTCTCTTAACATAGTTTGATTTTGATTTATTAAAGCTAAAAACTGCCTTTCTTGAAATTAAAAAATGTATTTATAAACACCTATTTAGTAACCACAGTAAGCTATATAGCCTCAGCTATGTGCTATTTCATAGTATAGTCTTTCTATCCCGAGTTTCATGCCTAATGTCAGCTTGTGTTCACAGATATGTATCTATCAGCTACATTTACTATGGAAAGTATTTAGATTAATTAAGATATTTTGTGAATGAATACAATGAGGGAAAGAATAAAGGAATGGAAATATATATACAAGAAACAAGCAATGGAAAATTATTTGTTGATGACAACATGTAGGATTAAGCCCCTTTGCAGTGTATTCTGGCTGTAAAATCACATTTTGGATGCTGTGGTGATGCTCAGTGAAAGTATGTAAAATAAATAAATAAAAATAAATAAAAGTAATGCACTAGGTCCTTCCTTGGCGCCCCGATTCTGTTCTGAACACCTGACTAGGGTGAGGTGCGTCGGTGACAGGAGAGCAGGGCAGTGCGCGTGGGAGAGCTGCTCTGATACATTCAATTTCTTGCTAGGCATCGTGGTGCGTTTTCTCTCATTCACGAAAAATGAGGTATATATTCTCCTTCCTGCCTTCGTTCCTGTACCGAATCCCCCAGAGGCTTTTTTCATTTTAGCTTCGCCGACTCTTAAAAGAAAGAGAACGGAGCCCAACTAACATATTACCAGTTATTTCCAAGTTTCAGGCTTTAATGTTTTGTCAGAGTGCTTTCATTACCTCTGTTCTTCCTTTAGGTGCGTCATGCCTGTATTATTGCCAAAACTGGCAGGAAGGAGAGGAGCATACTCTGCCTCAGAGGTTGCATAGGCGTGTATTCTCATAGCTCTGCGTATTCATCCATAGTGCTTTTTAATACATCAACTTGACATTTCCCATGGCGATTAAGATGACATGAATTACATGATACACGGAGTGAAACAACAAACTAGGGCTCTTCATAGGTTGCTCCCCTACCTTAGGAACCTCACCCAGTCTTCAAGGTCTTGGACAAAAGCCACCAACTTCACAAAACCTCCCCTCAATAAGCAGATTTCCCCCTGTTGTGATTTCTCAACCCACCAATTTCTTTTTTCTTCATTAAGCTTTTGGCACGTACTTGTTGTTCTAAATGATGGTTTACTTGTCCGTGTTTATGTAAAAATAGCTTGTAACATCCTTAACTGGGATCTTTTTATTTTTTAAATGAGTCTTTGTGTTTTCCACCCTGCTTAGCACAAACAGGAATCTAAAAATAGTTTTGTTTTGTTTAAAATTGACAGAGGTTGCCTGTGCTCGTCAGAGAAAAAGAGAGACACAGAGAGAGAAAGCACCCCTCTCCCCCATGGAGTGTGGTCACACTGCAACCCCTTATTGTCCAGTTTTCCTTCCTGTTAAGATTTGGGGCATGCACACACATGCATCTGATGTGTTTTCTTTTTTTTTTTTTGGAGAGGTTTTTGCTATAGGGCGCGTGCACTCACCAGGCAGACAGAGAGAGATAGAGAGGCAGAAAGCGAGAAATCACCCCCCAGGGGGGATGGCCACACCACAATCCCTTCTCCTCCATTCTCCTCTCGGGATCTTGGGCATGCACACACACGTGAGTTTTAAGCCACCAGGTCCGGGACTCGAACTGCGGTCGACTATATGGGAGTCCATAGCCATTATGCTATTTTTTTGCATAGCCATTATGCTAACCGCTGAACCCACATCTGGTGTGTTTTCAATCCACAGGGGCTGAGATTCAGACCATGGTTGGCCAAGTTGAAGATAGTCTCACCACTAGGCTCTGAGACTGGCCTTCCAAAACATTCATTGTATGATGGTATTTCTCCCTGTCTTGTTCATTGATCAAAACTAGACTCACCGCCTACTCTGAGCCAGAAACTGTGGTTTCCGGGCACACAGTATGGACCAGGCAGATGTGGTCTCTGCCTTTGGTCAGAAAGAATGACTCCAATCTTCCTCCCTCTCTTTTCATGGTTCTGTGTTGAGAAGTAGAGTGGGAGAATGTGAGAAGAGGCTGGAAATGAAAGGAAAATAGGGTATTTGCAGGAAATGTGATGAGTTTGTTGGAACGTGCTCACATGACCCCCTTTCTCAGGTTTTTGCAGTACAGCTTTCAAAGTGAATGACATCATCTTTGGCATCCGTCTCCCAACTGTTCAAATTCCTTCTCTGCTTCCTACTTGGGTGGCCTTGGAATTGTTTAATCTCATGGACATTCAATTTCTGCTAATAGAGTCTACTACATCAAATTAGATGATGTTTGTTGCCGCCTCACAAGACAAGGGGATTTCAAGAAGTTCAAGAGCCAGTCCCTGGCCTTGAGAATCCCCACATGGCCAATGACAGTGCAAATCCGAGCCCTGGCAGCTTGAAAAACTCAGTGGTGAATGTATGCGCATGTCCAGAAAGCTGAAGGAGGGAGAAACAGAGGAGGAATTGTGGTGTGATCTTGCCCCATTAGAGAATACTCTCTCTCTCTTTCTTTCTCTCTCTGATAAGTGCATGTGCCCTCTAGCAACCCAAAATACCCGCCCCCCAAAAAAAAACACAAAATATAAAATATAAAAAATACAAAATATAAAACAAAACAACTCAGGGATAAATGGAATTAAAATATGAATTAAGGGGCCAACGGGTGGCATAGTGATTAAGGAGCTGGATTCCCACATAGCTGACTGTGGTTTAAGTCCCCGAATCCTGGACCTGGCAGCTTGAAACTCTTGCCAGGTGCATGTGCGTGCATGCCTAGAATCCCAACAGGAGAATGGGGAAGGGATTGTCATGGAGCCATCCCCCTGGGGGGTGATCTCTCACTTTCTCTCTTTCTGTCTCTCTGGCAAGTGCATGTGCCCTACTAGCAAAAATCTCTGCAAAAAAAAAAAAAAAAAGAAAGAAAAAAATATTATTTAATATTGGTGCAAACAATTGTGAATTTTATGCAGCTTTTTTTTTTTTTTGGAGAGGCTTTTTGCTATAGGGCATGTGTGGTTGCCACAAAGAGAGAGACAGAGAGACAGAAAATGAGAAATCACTCCCCAGGGGGGATGGTCACGCTGCAATCCCTTCTCCTCCATTCTCCTCTTGGGATCTTGGGCATGAGTTTAAGCCACCGGGTCCTGGACTCAAACTGCGGTCGACTATGTGGGAGTCCAGCAACATAGCCATTATGCTTACTGCTGGTCCCAATCCCATGCAGTTTTTTTTTTAAATTTACATTTCATGAATGATTACAAGTCTCATATGTACTCAATAATATTGGTGGTTACTATTGCCACTATCATTAGCTGCTATAATCATTACGTTCTGTCTAGGGATTCTTGAAGTAGGGAAAAGACAACTCAGTCTAGAAATTTGCTCAAAGTCTCCCTTTGCTAAATGGTAGAGCTGGCTCCAGGCTCCTTGAACAGCTACGAAGGGTGTGCTGGATCCTACCACACCTGGGCCATTCAGAGCTTACCTCCTACCCACACCCTGTCTCTGGTCTGCAGTAAGTCCTACTAGATGTGAGAGTATATAACAGTAAAGAGAAATTTCTCCTCTTTGGTCTTCTGGTTGTAAGTTTACTCAGGACTGAAGGGAAGAATTGTGTTTATTAGTTTTTTGCTTACGCTTTCCTGGATACAGCTTTGTGTTCTCAAATACTAACAAAATGGATTTTCTTCCCCCTTCCTCTCTCTTGTTAATAGGGTGCTGAGAAAATTTTGTCAATGAATGAATCAGGAGAACTACAAGACCTTTTAACCAAAATTGAGGTAACTGTGCTTCTAGCAACTTATTTTTAATAATCAATATGTTGTACACATTCCGATAGTAACTAGGTTTTCCTAATTGAATCACTGTCCCTACCACCCCAGTGTTCTGGAGAATATGTTCATTGGGTACATGTGGCCATTTTAATTTGATGTCACCTGCCATGACGATAGGGTGCCTTTAATATTAGCATAACAACGTCATGCTATTAGATGAACATTTTAGTCAACTTTATTCCAGTCTAATTCTCTGTAACAGAGACCTTGATGAGGTGTTCTAAGCCAGGCAATTATCTTGAAGCCCTTTAAGTATTTTTCATTGAAACTACTTTATTTTTCTAATGGAGCTGCTCAATACTTCTAAAGATTAAAGAAAAATTTGTTTCTCCCCCAAAAAAGCACATTTTAATTTTTATTTCTAGACTTATAATGCAGCATCAGGCAAATAATGCATCAAATTAGGATGCAATCAGGAAACTCTTAATCTCTCTTTGCTAAATTATTGTATCAGCCTGCATCTCCCTATATGTAGGAAGATCAAATAATTTATCATCTAGATGGGGACACTTTGAGAGTGAAAGAATGCATTAACAACCATGCTGGGACAGCAAACATGAAATAGGACTCTCCCAGGAGAACGATGCCAGATGGTCTCCTAGTATCTAAATGCCACTGCTAGCTCTTCTTGGAATGATCTTCTTCACTAATCTCATTTCTGATTCTCTACCATGCCTTCCACTTCAATCAAAAGTAAGGACTATGTGGTATCTCTGTTTTCTCACTACTCTGCTATAGGGCGTGCACTCGCCAGACAGACAGAGAGATACATAGAGACAGAAAGTGAGAAATCACCTCCCAGGGGGGATGGTCACGCCGTAATCCCTTCTCCTCCATTCTCCTCTCAGGATCCTGGGCACGCACGCACATGTGCCCGGCGTGAGTTTTAAGCCACCGGGTCCAGGATGCGAACCACAGTGGATCACGTGGGAGTCCAGTAACATAGCCATTACGCTAACTGCTGGTTCCCTCACTACTCTGCTTTGGGCCAGCCATTCTGTTTGCCTGGGATGTTGTTATTCCATTTCCTCATTTCCCTCCACCATCTTTCAGGCCCGTCTGTAGTATCACTCCTCCAAAAATGCATTTCTGATCTCATTCACCTTAAATGCCTATAACCTTTTTGTTGTTGTTGTTGGGGGAGTTGTTAAAGTCTTCCTTGTATTCTATTTTTTGGTGGGATATTGGACTCACGTCCTCAATGAACTATATGCTCATTTATTTTCTCAGCAAGTTGGCCAGGCACAGAGGTATTTTGTAAGCATTTTGTCAAGCATTTGCTGTATTAAACTGTTAAATCTAGTTATAAACATGAACACACACACACACACAATCACAGGTGAATTATCCATAGGTGATTACATGCCGTGGGTAAGCCTGCTTCATGGATAATCTGGATGATGAAATCTCTGGTCACAGAGGCTTAAACAGGCTGCTTCCCCTATGATAGGATACTTAAGGAACTCTCTTATTCCTACTGAGATGGGATCAAATAATATCTGAAATAGAAAACAATGAGCCTGGTGTGCAGACAGCTCGGTGGACTGGTGCATGGGAGGTCACCACGTTGCACTCTGGAGTGGGAACAGGCCTGAGCAAGAACTGAGCTGAGACCCCATCATTGTTTTTCAGTTATGAATATTAGCAATTCGATTCCATGAAAGGTCAAAGGACATCGTTCTTTTCAAGGTCTACTAGCTATAACCTCCTGAGCCAATTACTTGACCTCACATCCCTTGATGGTGAATTGATGCAAAAACATTTCTGACATAACAGCAATATCTTAGTCATCAGGCAGTATCAACAGATGACTATCTCCAGGCCTGCGCCAGGAGATGGCAGTCATAACCAGAAGTAACAGGAATCAGAGTCACAATGATCTCTTCCTCTATTCTTAAGGAATGGTATCAGACCATTAAAAATATGATGCATGTTTTGAGAAGAAGACGCCTTCATGGCTCCTGAGAACTAGTGATTTCAGGGAAAAAAGAGAAATGAAGATTTTTTTACTGATAATTCAGCCTCCAGCCCACAAACCTTAGTGGTAGGGAGCCCCTCTAGCCTTCTCTCTGTCTCTGTCCCTGTCTCTGTCTCTCTCTGCCTCTGTCTCTGTCTTCTCATTTTTTGGTAATTTTTCCTTTTTGAAATTTTTTAAGGTAAAGTATTCTCTTGGCTTTCAGTCACTCCTTTATCTTGCTAATAATCTCCTTTTCCCCTCCCATCCAGGAGAGGCAAGGGACAGGCCTTCAGAAGAAGACTCCTCCATGGCTCCTGGAAACTAGTGATTTTGCGTAGTGCACTTGCTTGCCGTGTGTTCTTTAATTTTTCGCTTTTGTTTTTAAAATTTTCTTTCCTTTTCTCTCTGTTTCTTTGTTGTTTTTCTCTCTCTCTCTCTCCTTTTCTTTTTCTTTTATCTCATCACTCTGCTTTTTTTAATCTCATCATTCTGCTCCTCAATCTCCATTCACTGTGTTTCTAGATGGATCTAAGAGAACTATTAGGGTTAACATATTTCTCAATATCCACTGAATCTGCTGCACAAATGGATAAAAATGGAACGGCAAAGAGATTCCAGATCACCTCCTTCTGCATGCTCCTGAACACTCAGATTGAACTACAAGAATTAGGGAGAAACACACTATCTATCAGATGACTAGAAGTCACCACAGGGCCACAAAATATATGGAAAAGCAAGAAAATACCTCTCCTCCAAGAGGAAAGAATAACTCCTCTTCATCCACAGACAGTTCAATGGGAATCATGGAAATGTCTGATAAAGAATTTAGAATATTCATAATGACAAAGCTAACAGAGAAGGAAGACAAGAGAGAAAAACTGAGGAAGAGGCAGGATAAAGGAGCTGACAAGTTCCAAGAGGTGAGGAAATTCTTGCAAGATCTAAAAGAGGAATTACACACTTTAAAAAAGAATCAAATGGACCTGTTAGAGATGAAGGCTTTAATACAGGAAGGCAAAACCTCCCCTGAAGATATTAAATGCAGACTAGATCATACAGAAAATAGAATCTCAGACGTAGAAGAGAAAATTTCTGGCCTAGAAAAATCCACCCCAGACACTGAGAAAATTGCCCCCAAAATGAGAATAATATACGAGAAATACTAGATACCATCAAATGTCCAAACATCCATATAGTTGATATCCCAGAAGGCAAAGAGATACATAAGGGCATTGATAATCTATTCCATAAAATCCTGTAAGAAAATTTTCCAAACCTAGAAAGCCACTCAAAATCTAGTCCCAAGAAATACAAAGGACCCCAAATAGAATCAACTCAAGAAGATTTTCTCCAAAACACATTATAGGAGGATTGACCAAAATCACAGACAAAGACAAGATACTAAGATGGGCAAGAGAAAAATGGCAAGTTACCTACAAAGGACATCCCATCAGGCTGACAGCGGACCTCTCATCAGAAACAATGTGAGCGAGGAAAGAATGGGAAAATATATTCAAAATGTTAAGGGAACAGCAATTTCAACCAAGAATACTGTACCCAGTAAGATTATCTTTCATATGGGAAGAAAAGACAAGAACATTCTCAGATAAACAAAACCTGAAAGAATTTACCTACACCAGACCAGCTCTCTAAGAAGTTCTCTAGGGAGTGCTCTACCAGTAAAATTAAATACAGACACACAGAAATAAGAGTTCAAAAACTAAGAAAATGGCCAACTTAATCACAGGGACAAGTCCGGAGTTGAATATTATATCCCAGAATTTAATCAGGAAGATCAAACCACGACAGACAATAGATTAAGTACATGAGACTAAACTGGTGAAATAGCATTTTATGACTTTTGACTACAACTTTGCTGATTTTCTTCTAGGCTTTGTTTTCTGGTTTTAAGGATTTTTGTCTTGTCTTGAGCTGCCGATAGGTTCATGTACTTACTATTTGAACACAATCCTAACCTGTTTTCAGGCTTTAAGTTTTAAGCAACTTTCCTTAGCATTTATTTGATTTATTAAAGTTAAAACTGATTTTCTTGAAATTACCAGCTGAACTTGCTATTGAAAGTAGCTGGATCAGGACCAGCAGTTAGCATAATAGCTATGTTGCTGGACTCTCGTGTAGTCAACCGTGATTCGAGTCCCAGACCTGCTGGCTTAAACTCACACCAGGTGCATGTGTGTGCGTGCCCAAGATCCTGAGAGGAGAATGTAGGAGAAGGGATTGCAACATGGCCATGCCCCCCATCCCCAGGAGGTGATTTCTCATTTTCTGTCTCTGTCTCTCTTGTCCTGGCGAGTGCTCGTGCCCCATTGCAAAAACCTCTCCAAAAAAAGAAAAAAAAATGCTTCAGAAAAATAAAAAAGCCCATGGAACTACGTGTAATGGAAAAACTATATATGAATTTCAAAACGTTTTTGTACCAGAACAAATTCATACTTTAATTGTAAAAAAATTTAAAAAAGAAAAGAAAAATGCTCTAATTTCTGATCTTAAGGAAGATACTAAGACTCTTGATCCCGTTTCTATGTTAAGTAGCTGAGGATAAGGTTTTCATATTACTGAGATTTGAGTTTGTGCTATGAAGGGGGTGTAGTTTTCGGTCTTTCATGAACTCCTCCCTTGTACTCTTCCCTACCTGGTCTTTGCTACACACTTGAGAATTATGTGTGCTTCACTTTGGATGCCTACAGTATGAAAAAACCCTGCTCAAAAACCCGCAAGCGGGGCTAGGATTTAGTTAAGAGAACAGAGAAATCTCTACTTCATCTCTCTCCTCCATATCTTGCCCACTACCTGGTTAGTGGAGGACATTCAATAAATCTATGCAGAATGAGTGAGTGGGATGGTCTTACCAATTGAATATCACTTTCTCTTTTTTTTTTTTTTTTTTTTAAGTTTGTTATAAGGTATATGTACTTGCTGGAGAGAGAAAGAAATCTATGTTTTTAAATTTTTTATGTTTTTTTTTTAG